TTATCCTACATTTTACTGATCATTTGGTCAAATAATAAGGCCACACTTGTCTGTAAGGAATTTTAAAATGCTAACTTCGATCATAACCAGTAAGTAACTGCATTATCAAGCTACTGTTTTAACTCAGCATTAATCAAATATGTGTTAATAATGATATCTTTGCTTATTAGCCTCCTTCCCATCTCTTAAATCAACTCCTCTACAGTGGAAACTTTGCACAGTAACTTGAAAATCAAGCATGAGAAATTGGGAGGATTATTCTCAACACTGTGTTTTTGTTACAAGTAAAACCGGTAGGGGGCAATGTTTAGTGCTACCTGCAACTGCAGAATTTTGGCGGTGGCTGTTTTTTTATTTTCACAACAGTAATGTAAATAACGGAAATCAATAAATCACTGCAGTGTAACTTTGAATCATCACATTTTTAAAGAAAGAGTTGCAGTATGTTTAGCAGCACAATCAATTATTAACAAAATTAACTGATAAAATATCTTTCACTGAAAACTTAATTTTAACTTCACAATCAGTGACCAGAAGTAGCTTCTAGTCATTAAAAATGGCCATAAATATGGTTTCAACAAATCCTGCAGATGCTGTGTTTGTAGGATCCTTGAAGAGCAGTTTAATGTTTTCCCTAAGCCAGGATAAAAAACATCCTGAACAGGCAGCTGGAATTGAATTTCATTGTGCCTCCAGAGGTGCAACCAGATTATATCCTCTTTCCCATCTGTCACAGCTCTGCACTTCCCATGCACCCTCAAAGCTATGCTCTGGTAATAAAATTGTTTCCAATCACCATATAGGAAAGGAGATAGGAAGAAGATTTTATTACCCAGTAACATGTTTATTTATTATAGTGATACTTCCTTTCCCTGTCTCTACCTAGTGAACATTTTAGTCCTCACAGAATCATAAGATACTTTAGATCAGAAGGATGTTCTTGGTGCCATCTGGTTCAGTGACCTGCTCAAAGCAGGTCTGGTTACATCAAGTTGCCCAAGGCCTCGTTTGGTTGAGCCTTGAATAGGTCCGAGGACAGAGATTCCACAACCTCTCTGGGCAGCCTTTCAGCACCCTCAAGGTAAAAATGTTTTTTCAACTTCCGATCAGCATCTCCCCTGCTGTAACTTGCATCTGTTACCTCTCATCCTGTTACCTTGCATTTCAGAGAAGAGTCTGGCTCCATCTTCCCTGTACCAATCTATTAGGCAGCTGAAGTTACCAGCTTCTTACTTTTTAGGGACAAGAGGAGTTCCAGACTATTTTTTGTAGTCCAGAATTGACACTGAAAGTGTATTGAGACTGCAAGGTCTCAATTTAGCCAGTGCTGAAACTTCTTCCAGATGTTGCATTAAACTACAACTTTAGTTGGAGAACTAAAATTTAAGCGATAGACCACATAGAAGCACAGCTCAGGATGATGAGTGGTCAGCTAATTCTCTGCAGTGCTTTCTATACTTTCAGCATTTCAGGCAAGAAGCAATTCCTGACCACCACAGTCCCTGGGATTTGGGCACTTCAGATTCTACATTCTAGCCATGGAAAAAAGACCCACAACGGTTACTGGAGGAGCAAATAAAATAAAACTGAACTGCAGTACATGTGTCCAGTTACAACTCAACATTCTCTTACTGAAATACCCTTGCAGTGTTTGAGCAAATGCACAGCAAAAGTTAATCACCAATATGTCATATACTTCATGTAGTTATGATGATTTACATCAACTAAAAATTTGCCCCATGGAGTGAGGTGACATTTGAGTTACTTCTGGGACTATTAGTTATGTTTCCCATTTTATGGAAACAAAACAAACTTACACAATTTGGCTCACAAAAAAATAAAGCAATGATTACATAAAACAGGCTCTTCTCTGTGCAAGAAAATGTTTAGAATTACAGGTTATATTACATTTTTGAACAATGTTTAGGAAAGCTAAGAACTCCAAATACTGAGCAATTAAGCTGTTATTTTGTTGCTAAGATTTTAGCAGAAAGATTCAGACTTCTTTTTTTAATTATTTTTTCATTAATTCCTCTTTTTCCACTTTTTGCTGTAACCTAGTAAGCACTAAACTTCCATGTTACTCTTCTCCACCCGAAACTTTAGCACCTCTAGGAAGGTAAGTAGATTCTATGGCCAATTTCAGTGTGAGTCTAAGGGATTCTGACAGATGGCACAATTTTCATCTTCCTCCAATTCTATGTAGAAGAATGTGTAATTTAAAGTAGTGGCTGGCATATTTAAACAATCTCTTACACCTTACTTTTAGTCGTTTTTCCTGATATATCACTATTATCAAGCTTTTCGGAAACTAAATTACACCTACTTCAGCCTTTCTTCTGTCAGTTGGACCCTGAAGTCAACTTCAGAGGCCACAGATAAGGGGCTGTAAATAACATTCACAACTGCATTTGAAAATAAATAATCACTTGTCAAGGAGGATGGAAGAATTTAAACCATACTCATTTAGATTATCTCTACTGCACCTCTGACTGTTGTTGCTAATCTTTGGAGAGAAGTAATAATCCCATATGAATTTCCATGCCATGATATTTAAGAGGCATAAAAATACAATGTGATATCAGATAGGGCAAAGCACCAAAACTGCAAAGCTGATTAGTCCAATAAATCATTTTAGAACCTCCTAGTGAAACAGTATTTTCTAGCTACTGTCCATTAATAAAAATACACAACTCCTTCAAAACGTGAGTACTGAAAACTGTTACAGCATTCCATGCTCTGTTTAAGCAAAATACGTGATGGATTCAGAGCAACTCTTTAGAATATTTTCTTTTACTCACAAATCTACAATAATATCCTCTTGGATGATAATCAAGCATTGCAAAATACATATCAGCAGGTATCAGCAACAAACCAGAAAAAAACTCTAGCTTAGTTATCCTTGTGTTAACAGCTTGAACTCATTACAGTAGCGCAATGCAGTATATTGCAGTATTCTGGCTATAATGGACTGTATTGTTATTAAATTACATTGCAACTTCTTACAATGAGTTCAGTACAAATGTACAGAGCCTAGATATTCCTTCTAACTGTAAAAAACAGACTGAATGGTCACTACTGTTTATTAACTCATTGATCGATACAGCTGTCCTAGCAGCTAACAACCGCACCTGAAAATTCTGTGTATACATTGTCGTGACTGCTCAGAAAACAGTTATGTTTAAGAGCAGGAAAGTATAAAATACCGTGCCCCAGCTTCATGCACGTTTCTACTTGCCGTATGTCCACAAAAATAAATATGCTGACTTTAGAAACGTGGATATTTTATCCTTGGTTATATTTATATTCTTCTATGAAATAATTGTGTATTATTACAAAGCCCTTGAGAATTGTCAGAAATGTAGTTACTGTGTATTTTGGGGTCAGATTCTGCTCTCAGTTACAGAGATACACATTGAAGTAACCTCATCAAAGTCAGTCTATTACTCTGGGTTTATGGCATTCTGAGGTCAGACCTTGGCTCTGAGAATTTCATTTTCATGCGAGATTTAACTTCAAATACAGTCTCCTTTGCTGCTTGTTTGAAGCAAACAGATGACTATTAGTACCAAATCTTACTGGAAGATGCATGCTTCTATCGCCCTTTAAAATTCAAAATACATTTTGCTTCATGATGCAGCTTAAAAGAACGACATCTCCATCATGCAATGAAATGGCATCAACATGTGAAATTGCCATTAAATAGCACATGCATCTGAAGGCAAAGCATAACTTTTTTTTTCTCTCTTTATGTTTGCACCCTAACACATATGTAGGCCATCCTATGTACCATGCTGCAAATTGTCTGTATCTCTGTTGTTATTCCAGATAAAGCACCATGAATATTAAGCAAATTCAGTGATACAATTAATTGAAACTCAAGAGGCTACCCACTGCATATTAGAATAAATATAAGCTATATTATGCCTTTTCCCCCTCCCATACAATTTTCCAAACTGCTTTTGTTCAGAATTAACTTAAATAGTTCTTCACTCATCCAGATTGATTTTGAAGCTATGTTTAGTTGTGTGTAATGATATATATACTCCCTCAGAGCCTACTTCAGCACCTCTTTAATCTTTAGCCGAGATTATCTACAGTACTACTCACTAACAAAAACTGCCAGTATATTTTGCTTAATAATGTATTTTTCATTTTATCAGATGTTAAATTTGCCCACAACTGAAGCTAAAGCCCTCCAACAGCTGACATCTGAAATCATTACTCAATCCAGCCTGACAATCTTTCTTCACTTACTCTGTCTCCTGAGCTGTACAACAATGAAATCTCTCAGCTCCTCTTCAGTTGCTCTATCATACAGAAAAATTAATTCAGACAAAGGTTGACACATTTAACTGTTCATTCTTCTAGTTGAGAACCTTGGCCATCAGAAGAGCTTGTATCACCTGTAAAAATTAACTGCCTCCATGCATTTAATCTATACCTAGTTTGTGTATAAAATTAAACAGGAAAAGGAGCTGTAACAGCAACCTTTTCTCTCTGCCCAGATGTTGTGCATGGTTTTTCCTCTAAAATCCTACTAATACTGTTACATACTCTGAAAACGTCAGCAGTTTATTTTAGGATTTTTAAAGAAAACAGTGTATTTTAAGAAAATATCATTGAATAACAGCAAATAAATGTTGAGGTTCTTGAATTGCAAACAAGAATATTCGCACCAGAAACCTGACTCAGCCGTGACCTTTGAAAAGCAGCACAGGGAATGTATCATACGATTTGTATTTCTAATCAAAACATCCTGAATTTTAAATGGCAAATCCTTGCAGTGGATTGCCTTTGTACAAGGTAGAAACTCAGTATTCTTGGAAGAAATTGTTCATACAGTATCATTATTTAAAAAATAATATTAGGAAAACATGTACATGATGCTGTGACAGAAACTGGGAGATAAGAAACATAAAAGTGATCGACCATTACTCTATCCATTTTATCTCTTTCCTAAATGGTAACACAAAACTGATTTCCCTCCGTGACCTTACCTGTAAATGAAAGGAGCTACTGTGGCAGTGTTGGGGTGACTGTATTGCTGTTGCTGAGGAAGCTGGACAACACCGTTTCCCGTGCCTTGGCTGCTGCTTGCAGCCACCGAGGCCGACAGAGCTGCGGAGGACCCCGCACTGAGAGCTACACTTGGTTCTTTCCCTTCAGAGGATGCAAGACCAGAGGAAGGAGAAGCCTTCTCACTAAGTTGAGATTTTGGTGTTGATTGGGACTGACTTCCTTTTGTAGTCCTCAGTTTTTCAACCTCCTTATTTCCCGTGCATGCAGATGAAGTGCTCTGCTTTGCTGTTGGCACCTTCGATCCAGGTTTCGGGATCCCACTAGAAGACGGTATTAAACTTTCCTTCTTGGCTGCTGTCGTCTTGCTTCCCTTTGGGATCAAGCTTGCAATTTTTGAGCTCTTCTTTGTAGATGTTTCACTGACCTGGTCCTTCTCTTCCTTGCCTGTTTTCTCAGTGCAAACTTTGTTTTTGTCCCTGTTCTTTTCCTCTTTGTCCTTTGGCTGTAGCAAAGACTTTTTATTGCTGAGATTTTTGCTTCCAGCTTTTGGAGGAGTTAACTTCGGTGATACTTTAGGACTGCTACTTGTGGAGCCGCCGCTGTTTACTCCACCACTTAGAACATCCATTTCACCACACTCTGAAAAGGTGTCATCCTCTCTCCCACTGTCACTGGGTCCTGAGCTCAGTGACAAAGGAGGTCTCAGAGCAGTCCTAGCATTAACCAGCTTGAATTTTTCCAGCATAGATTTTTGTCCAGATGAAGGAGGCTTCACACCTTCAGAAGGGGGTGGCTTGAGCCTGTCTGAAGATGGAGTAGGGGAAGTTGCAGGACTAGGCTGCTTCACGGACAGCATGGTAGAGGTCGCGCTGTGTTTGACATTCATGGATTTGCTGCGCCAAGGCTTGCTGGCACTTGGAGAGGGTATGGCAGAGACCTGCTGCTGCCCGGTGCTGGTGGGATGCTGCACATTTCCATTCATGCCTGCAGATGGGTGAGGGCCTTTTGGTGAATCTGCTTTAAAAAACCAGAAAGAACCTTAATGGTACAGTTATTCTCTCATCTTCCACTTGAAGGTGATACCATACTCCTCTGGCACTTAAAACACAGTTACACATGATGTATAATAAACATAATTTACATGTGCTTGGAACATGAAGGATGCTATTCGAAAATGCCTGGTTTTCCCCCCACAATCATGGTGTTGTTCGATATTTCTATGAGCTCAAGAGAGTCTTGGAAACACATTCCTTGTAACCATTTCATCATGCATAAATAAACTTTCCAATTTAAATATTTTCCCTTTAATAAGTCATAAAGAAATTCTTCCAATCACTTGTTAACAATAAAACACTGAGACACAAAGGAAAAAAAAATGTTACAATATAGGAAGAAAAACAAAACCAGAGAAAGATGGTTTGTGCTAGAAAGCTAAGGTTTTGGGTGGGGGAAGGAGGATGGAGTAATTCTGAAATTAAATGGCTATGATCAACATTCATAAAAGCAAAAAATAGCAGTTCACTATATTTTTTTAGTTTTAAGTACAGTTAACAAGCTTTAGTAGCTGACTTCAGGAACTTATCCTAGTGCTCTTACATAGGTGGAAAAAAACATATCAGCAATTTCGCTAGTGTTAGTACTTGAAGTTCCAGTGATATATCATCTACATGGGTACAGCAACAATAGCTGGTTTTGGCCTGAAGCTCAGGTAGGTACATAAGGCTCTTTTACATGGCTCGGGCACATTCACTACATGTACATCATCCAGGAATGTCAGCAAACCTTCAGAATGAATGAGAACAAGACTCCTTCTTCAAAAATCAAACTATGTGAGTTGGGGCTGTGTGGTAAGGGGTTTTGGTACTGGGGCAGAGGATACTTTGAGAAGCTGCTAGAAGGTCCCCTGGCTCCAAGTCAGACCTGCTGCTGGTCATGGCTGAGGCAGTCAGCGCCTCTGTGATGGACACGTTTAAAGGGGAAAAACAACAGAGAAACAGCAGCGGAAGCAGTGGAAAAAGGATTAGGAGAGAGTAATGGGATGTGGCCAGACAACCAGGCAGACAGACACCAAGGTCAGTGTAGAAAGGAGAGGGTGGAAGTGGCTGGAGCAGAGGTTCCCCTCAGCCCATGGTGAGGCTGGCTGTGTCACTGCAGCCATGGAGGGTCATGGGAGAGCAGGGACCTGCCTGCAGCCTGGGGAGGGCTCCACACTGGAGCAGGGGGATGCACCTGAGAGACGCTGTGGCTCCATGGAAAGCCCATGCTGGAGCAGGCTGTTCCTGAAGGACTGCACCCCACAGAAGGGACCCATGCTGCAGCAGTTAAGGAAAGGTGCAGCCCATGGGAAGGACCCATGCTAGGGAAGTTCATGAAGGACTGTCTCCCAGGGGAGGGATCCCACACTGGAGCAGGGCAAGAGCGTGCAGTCCTCCCTGTGAGGAAGAAGAAGTGGCAGAAAGAGCATGTGATGGACTGACCACAACCCTCATTCCCCATCCTCCTGCACAGCTGGAGGGGTGGAGGCAGAGAAATTAGAAGCACAGTTAATCACAAGAGTAAGGGAGGGGTGGGAAAAAGTTGTTTTAAGATCTGGGTTTTTTTTTTTCATTATCTTACTCTCATTTGATGGTAACTAATTAAATTAATATTTTTTCTCTTACCCAGGTCGAGTCTGGTTTGCCTGTGACCATAATGGGTGAATGATCCCTCCTTGCCCTTGTCTCAACCCACAAGCCTTTCCTTATATCATCTCTTCCCCATCCCACTTGGGGGACGAGGGAGTGAGTGGCTGCATGATGCTTGTGTTGCCGTCTGGATCTAAACCATGACACTATGCTAATTGACATCCATGATTTTAAAAATAAGTCATCTAGCCTTATTAAACAAAACTGACCAATGCACAAAAGGGTTAAGCTCTTCTGTATGCAGCTCAGATTTCCAAGACATATCTGAGTATTTAAACACTATTACTCTGGAGCACCAGAGATTTGAAGTGGTAATGGCAACCAAATAGGTGGTACGCAGCTATTTCAGCAATTGACATATTCTCTCTCAGTGTATCTATCTCATCTTGCCATTCAGTCTCGGGACTGCCAGTGGATTAGATGTAAGCCTGCCTACAGTATCTCAGATTCAGTACTACAATAAAGAGTATGAAACACGCAATGCAAATATAGATCATGTAATGGTAAAAAAGAGCTTGATGTGTTGCATACACACATGAAGCCAAACTTATGCCTTGGGGCCCCCCTGTCTAAATAATATACTAGTTGAGGACGCTGAAGACATTTGTCCCTTCAGCACAGTTTGAAGTTATGCATCATTTTCATTTTTGCAGTCTCGGCCCTAAAGCCCTAGTACGGATTAGACTACCCTGGAAGTCTGAAGACCACTAATACACTTAGGAAAGGGGGGAATTCTGAGCATCCTGAAAGGGCAGCTCTTTTTTCTTCAACAAAGAGAATGCAAACACAGAAAATTTACTTCTCAAAATAGCATTAAGAAGGTCTAGGTAGAAAATAATAATAAAAAAATCTAGATGGAAATTACACGGCAGAAATGTAACAGCTTTTACTTGCTTAACACTATTAACAACTGGACCTCAGGTCAATCACCTCTGCCTTCAATAGATGCTGTGTAATTCCATCTGCCCCAAGTTTTTTGTGTGTTCCTCAGCCTGATACACAAACCCCACGGCACTAAATGAGTTCAGTCCACCTTCACAGAAGGTCTCAAGCAGCTCTGCTGTGTCCAGTTACTAGGCAAGGAAACGTTAACTGGTAAGAGCTGCCTCAGAGAATTTTTGGGGACAGGTAAGGTTATGGCTTATTCTCCAGATTCCAGCTAGCACCATGCACATGGGGCAGCTTTGGTGGGCAGCTGCAGAGCTGATCGCCCCCTTGTGACCAAGGCAGGAATTGTGGCTGGGCCCCTGCTATTTTCTGGTGAGGCTCAGAACCTGGAAGAAAGCCTGGGACCAACGACAGCTGTTGGAAATTACTGCAGTCCCCATGCTTCCCTTATACCAGGGATCAGCATGACTGATAGGACTGGGTGTGCATAAGGACCTTCTTGCACACATCTTGCCTTGCATTAAGCTTGCCTTAATTATACAGGAGGTTTGGGGTCTTTAGCAATCCCAATAATTTTGCAGAAGATCAATTCACCATAAGAATATGCAAAGCTAATGCAGGATACATGGACCAGTCTGTGAACAGTGGGATGCCACTATACTCTGTTGCATTAATTCTGTTACATTTGTATGGCTTCAGGCTATTAGTTTTACTTAGAAAAGAAAAAAGAAAAAGCATTCTGATTAAAAAGCAGAATGGATGCCTTGCTGTATTTCCTGCTATTTAATATTAAACTAATTGGGGGTAAAACCCATAAAACCAAGAGTGTTTACCGTTTTCATCAACAGCTTTTTCTGCTACACAGAACAATACACAGGTTCCTGGAACCACTGACACTCATTTGATCCCTATGTCACAAACTATACACAGCATCACAAAATTACAGACAACTTTAACTTGCCTTTAATCTTCAATTAAAGTGTATCCTCAATGTTTCCACGAGGAATGTGGACTGCATGCTCTCAAGAAATACTGAGAGCCTGTCTGTATGTTTAAAGATGTGGAATTAAAAGGTTTATTTCCCCCCCAGCACAAATGCATTACTTGAAGCTTCACATCATTCACTGCTTCCTGCATGTTCAATTGGATTTAGCTTTAGCTGTTCATTATATTAAATCTGTCCCCACCTTGTGGTGATTTTGACACAGAATGAACACAGTTTATGCAAAGTTTTCTTCTTTCTATAAACTAAATTTTACAACAAAACAGTCTTCTGTTCAGGGCCCAATCCCTTTATTGTTGAAATGTCATCAACTTGGAGTGAAAACAATTTTGCATTCTGCTTGAGATCTCAGTACTTCAGAGCTCAGCTCAACCTGTGCTGGGAAAAGCAGAGAGGCAACACCCCAGGTGTCCAGTGCAGAAAGGGAACTCAGCAGGACCATGACAACTGAATGGTCCATTTTCAAGTCCACTTTTCATAGGCTGCTGCACAAAAAAAAGACACATGAGGGGTTAAACTTGGCCCCCATATATAATAAACTTCCTCTGTCATCTCATCTGTGACCTTTGCTGTGCTGTGTTCTGTCTGTTGAAGAAGATTAGTAGAAAATGAAGAGCTGCAAGGGATTGCTATAAGGATATTTGCAGGAATGGGAGGTCTGTCTAGTGATATCGAAAGAATTCAGCTTGTTCAACTGTCCCTTTCCAGCTGTCCAGGAGAAAGTAGCTACTCCTTATGAGCACAGGAGGGAACACCACTAGGGACAATACACTGGCACCAGAAAAAATGTAAACAAATTAGCTATAGATGTACATACTGGTCACAGACAAATCATTTGCATCATCAGACGCAATCATTTGCATCATCATGAGAGTTGATACTGGCAAAATAACCAAATATTGTTGAATCTGAGTTTGAACAATACACAAAGAACATTTTTTATTATTAAATTGTATTGAAAAGCAGGTACTTAAATTCCATGACATAAAGACTCTTATCAGTGTTCAGATACACTGTTTCTAAGCTCTGAAGTGTAAATATTTGTTTTTAAAATTTGACTTGAATTAGAACATTATTTCTTTTCTAGACTCAAAACACCCTGGGTATTCATCTTATAAGCAATGTGAATAATTACTTTACTGAAATATTCTGATCAGCTCACTAAAGCTCCACAGGTGAGTTTCAGCTAATGGCATGTTTATTGTTATGCTGTTCCTGACTTAACCACAGCTACACATTGTTACCTGTGTTACAGCAATGAGTTGGGTCTGCGGGTGAAAACTGGGCTGTTCTCAATAAAGAGCAAATGTGCATTTGCTATGGGGAGCTAGGTTTCTTACCATGTAAATTACTCCTTAAGCAGCATTCAAAGGAGATAACATTAATGACATATTAAATAATAATATACGAAATAAAAGGTCCATATCACATCTTCATTTGGATCACCTTCAGGTCTCCTTTAACTCTGTGACTACATATCCATTCCCCACTGTGACTGAGTTGGAAACCATGTTATGCAGGAATGGATTTCAAGTATTACATATAACTGGATTAAAAAAACCCTCTTACACTGTTTATCTTTTCTGAGGACTCCTTAGAGCACATACAGAAAGACGTAGAGCAGAAAAAACTGTACCAAAAGTGGTCTCCCTGGAAGAGGTCTAGAGGTCCCAACCTCTAATGACTATCGACCTAGCAGAAGTCATCTTTTTTTCCACTTCAGTTTATACAGCACTAATGCAGAATTCTAATCTATTTACTATATGATCTGTGTCTCAGAAATTAGAGTGTATGGACTATATCCATTCAATGGAAGCTGTTAAAGTTATCTTGCTCCAAGCATCAGCATCAGAAAAAAAATTTGAAGTATAAGGTTTATTATGTGTGCCACACTGTAAGGAACAATTAATTTTTCAACATATAACGATTCTTTTTTTAAACGTGTTTGTTATTATTACTATTACCATTGTGAGGGTTGAAGTTTGTTTCTAAACAAATTCTTCAAAAATCTTAGGTGTCCTCAAATACTTCAAAACACCAAAAGACTACTTGGAAATTTCTTTGTAATATTAAAAAAATAGCGACTCTAACAATTAAATTTAAAATATAGCATGGTTCAGTTGTTTTTATGCAAAGAAGTATCAGGGTGAATTGAAATACAGGTTCTCACGTCTTCTTGTAGGATATTATAAAAAATATCTTTTCCCTATCCTTGCACTACCAGTAGTCATTTTCTCCAAATAACTTCTGCTATACACTCTAAAACAAACTTGTATTTGATTTTATAAAAGAATACAAACCAATGCTCTTTCATCCATTCCACTGTTTTGAAAGAAAAAAAGAACAGACAGAAACATCTCAAATACACTACTCTCTAATTGTACAACATTACATTTTCTATAAGATGTAAAATTAATTGAACTATTATACACAAAGCTACCCCTTATCCTCTAGCAAGTGATGACTTCAATAAAAATCTCATCAAGGTACTCATCCTTTGCTGTAAAGGAATGGGAAAGTGAAAAAATCTATGATGCACAAAGACATAAATGTGCAATGCAATGCAAACCTCAGCAGTCCAAACAGTTTCCAAGTAAAAAGCTAAGAATATTAATATCTACAAACATGTCTCAGCTTGAATCATTTCACTCCAACATATTTCAGTATCAAACCTGTGTCAACATTATGAAGCAATTCTAATACCTAAACTGCTGTACATACCTTCACTCAAGCAGCCACATCTCCTACTTCATAACTTCACTATCGTATTTGTGAACTATACAGTGTCTGCTCAGCTTTCATTCTGATCTCTTTCTAGTTTTAGCCTGGATGTCTTGCCACAAACAAGTCCTTAATAAAATAAATCCAACCATAGAACTATCTAAAACATTCAACCCTGATAGTAAAAATAAAGAAATAACTATTGAAAGGATGGTTTTATATCTTCAGATACAGCTAGGGGCAGAGTGTGTTCATCAGAATTTTGTAAAAAAAATCTGGATAGCTGCCTGTTGCTTGGATGAAGAACATTCACTGCATACTTTTTCCTCCCACAGACCCCAAGGATGCAAACGGGTACTATGTATATTGTATAATTTTCAACTGTGTTCCAACCCAGAGATATGAATAAAATGCTGTTCATTACACAAAGGGAGAAAGAAGGGGGGAAGGGGCTGGATTAGTTACACAACTCAGAGACCTGAATTTTTACATTATTCTGTCTGATATAAAGCCTGAAGAGGCACATTTTCCAGGGAAACAATGTCAGGGTGAGAGAAACAGAAGGACCCAGGGAACTCTGTTTTCATAATGGAAGTTCATAGTAAGGCAGGCAACAAACCATGAACACTAATTTCAAATGTCTACAAAATTTCATTACAGTTGACTTAATTTTAAATCCTCTATTCACACTTATATATACACTAGGTAAGTTTCTGAAGGAATAGATGCATGCAATATTCTGATGCAAATATAATACTGTGATTCTTCTTCATTGGAGGGTAAGATGCAAAGTCCCCTGAAAATTATGGCAGTCTTCCTTTGGGTATGAGTAGACATGAATATGGACCAAGATTATAGGTATCCAATATGGATTCATTTTTACTTCAGAAAAATCACCCAGTGATATTTCTATCCAAGAGGTATAAAATATAACATCTTGAAAGTTTTCAGTTCTGAACTTTAAATCACAACTCAACCCCAATTTGTAATTCAGAGCCCGGTCTCCATAGGTCTTCCTTACCAAGGATAAATATTACATTCACTGCTTTGGCCCTTGTGAATGGGATCCTTTTTTTCCCTCTTGTATGTAACTTTTAATCACTTACCTTTTTCATTTCCATTTGCATATTGTGGAGGTTTGTTTTTGTCAATGCTGTTAAAGCTCTGGCTTCTCCGATTTAAATTAGAAGCTCCCTGGACTTTGGTACTGCTGCCTGCAGCTGGCACCCTTGAGGGTCCTGGAAGCCTGGAACGTTAGAACTCAGTTCATTTCATGTAGTGCAACATATACAGGAGGCAGTATGCAAATATCAGACCAGAATTTAAAACCAACAACTGAAAACAATTATTTCAGGTAAGCAACAGTGAACACGAGGATTCAAATTAGTTAGACTGCACAAATGAAAAGAGAAGCTTATCCTTTTACGCACACAAAAGGGAAAAAGATGCTTTCTAGTGTCACAAGACATGTAAGAAGGTGCTTTGCATTTGCCGTTAACATTGCTAAAACAGATTCACCCTAACAAACCATCAAAGTGCAATAATAACTTTCATTTAAATCTGTCACTTTTTAAGAGGAAATTATACAGAAATTGATTAGAAAGCACAAAAATACATAGTTGAGCAATATTTCATATCTCTTACTCTAGCAAACGTTTCACAGCTGTGTTTAGCATAAAAGCTGGCTTTTTAATTACCATGTTTGGTTATTTTTCAGAGGCTATTGGTTAAAGCACTTCCATCTTGTTTTAAATGAAAAATATTGAAAACACATATTTTAGCTAGATGCTACAGATGCGTGTACACCTTCCAGAGAGAAGTATGTAGACTGTACAGTTCATTTGTTAGTATTTGCTGCCACCATCTGAACCTTACTGTGTGGCTGTGCTAAGGAAAAAAATGTAGGCTATTGATCCTGGCATGTGTAAACCTGAATTGTTTTTCTGTCTGAATCTCTTCTGTGATGTAAGATTCTTTAATAATGCTTAATTCAAACTTTCTGCAGCATCTTTGTGGGCACCCCCACTCCTTTCCAGTTGTGTTTTCTGACAGACAAAATTAAATGCTCAAATCAGCAAGGGGTTTTGCGATAGGAAAATAAAATCTGTCTTCTGTTTCACACTTATTGGAATGATACGATGATCTTAATAGCGGTGATACAAATTATATCAGAGCTATCAAATTTTGTTCGTTTCACTATACTACAAAAGAGCTGCATCAGAAGGGAGAAAAAAATCATGTTACAAAGAATTACAAAACATCAGGTTTCCTCCAAACATTTTTTGTTTAATATACTGGTATAACAGAAATGGTCAAATAATTTTATTTTCATTAGGAAACATATTTAAACAGCTCCATGTTCTCTTCCTTTACCAATTTCAGCCTCAGAGAGCTAATCCGTTAGTTATTTTTATGGCTCATTCTGGCCGGCAGCCTGCCCTGCTAGTCTTTGTGCTGAGCCCACAGCAGACTGTCTCTGCTCTGCAGCTGTACGCATGCTAACCTTTACCGTGACCCATGAATAGGAGTGATCTTCTGTTCCCTGAAGAATGCACTAAAACAAACTTAAAAATCCATTTGCTCTTTCTCATTACCCTAATTTGACAGGGAGTGAGAGCCCTGAGCTCGTTTGTCAATGGTAATGAAAAAAGCAATGAGAAGGCATGTGCAACACTAGAAACTCATCTGTTCTGTTAAAATATAAAATAGTTCTGCATATATTCTGCATGCCAGATTTCAAGAACTTGCCACAGTAAGCATATTATACATGAGGTCATTTGCTCTACACACTTCCCAGTTTACCTCATTTACTGTCTTTTTTAATTGAATTCAGGTTTAAAATTGCTCTTGCAGAATCATGTTAAGCAGCTAAGGAAATGCAAAGAGGAGAATAACAAATAAGGGACAAGCCACATACCTCTGAACAGGCTTCGGAAACACTGCCACAGATTTAAAGTATTAGACAATAAGACTGTTAACCCCGACATGTTGAATGTGGACAAGACAGGAGCATCAGCAATAAGGAAAACTGAAGACCTGTAAGTGCAGGTGCAAAGCCACTGGACCGTGGTATAGCTCGTTCCAAGCTACCACCAGCAACTCAAACTGTGTTAGTGCGCTGTGCTGTAAAATGCAATCTTTATTGTAGATTATGCAATTTAGAGTTCATTGTTCTCACCAATGAACTGTACAGCAAAGGTATAATTAATGAACACATTAATTATCCCACACACACCAAAAAAATGCTAGAAATGAGTAAGCTTTAGACCTCGGTTTCTTTCTTCTGCAATCTGGCTTGTAGATTTTAGTGCTCATGGAAATTATAAACTAAAAGTACTGATGAAACCTGAAACAGGTCAGCTCCTACACACAGCTCTGTCAAATTCACTGCCAAAACAAAGCATCTCATTAGTCGGGACAGTGTGCAGGCTACTCTTGACTGAGCAAAACTCTTGGAAGTGGTTCTTTTTTCTGCTCTATTTTGACTCTGCATGACCTTGGCTCTGGGAACCCAACCTTTAAGGTGGGTTTTGCAATACATGCAAAACATCCAGAGGGAATGGGGAGGGACTCCCAGACTTCTTTTCACTCATGACTAAAGTAAGGTTTTAAACCAGGGCGTAGGGAGCACTAAAATCACCAACTAATCCTTCACATCCATTATTTCACATGCAAGATACAAAGATGCAGGATACAAAACAACCAGAAATATTGCTAATATACAGTACAAATCATCTGCTTCCAGTCCATACAAGGCTTTTCCATGGCAGAACTCATCATTGCGAAGCTTGCAAGCATAACATAAATACACATTGCTTAATGTCTGCTTATGTCCAAGGGATTAAATATCAATGGGCATGTACTTGCTTGAGTATCACTAACAAGCAATAAATTAGAGATATTTAACTGACCTAGAAGTCTTTTTTTGACTGGTTGCAATTCCACTGTGATTAGATTGAGTTGCATATCTGGCTGTGAGACTGTATGAGAAGAAACAGAGAAATTGAATTAAAGAATTTCTTTGGACATGTATAGAAAGAACACACTTACCAGCAAACTATGAGTTAATGAATGCAAATTGAACATGGATAGAAAACACAAATTAACAGGCAAAAATATGAAATAATGCAAACATGCAGATTTGTATGAGAGATGCAATGCACAGATTATGAATTAATGGATATTGCTATAACTTGTCTCATTTGCTAGAAATTATCTTTGGAACAGACAATGAGGGGAAATTTCCATAGTGACTGAATTACTGAAGTCTAGGTCCATTCACACAGATTGCACCTCAAAACTTTGTGCCTTTTTTTCTTATTCCACAAAAAATAAGCACAAATGTAGAGCTATTATTGTTCCAGAACCTGGAAAAAGAAAAGTGGACTTTTCCTGCTAAAAAAGGTGACCCTCCTGACAGTAGAGCAATATGTAAGAACCATCCCATCATAATTTTCATTACCGTCACAGGTCATGTATGTGATGCATTACCCAGGTAATGAATCAGAATTTTTGTTAGGAAAGCTCTGACACTAGGTTAAGCTCACTGTTAAATGCTATAGGAAAATGCACCTTGGTCTATTAAGGCATCTCAGTAGTGTTTCTACAACAGAAGATATGCTGTGCTACAGGGCTAAAACCTGGACATTCCTTTTGATACCCAACAATGTGTCATTATTAAAAAGAAAATTTATACCTCTATTCTTTTAGACCTTTGCATAGGAGATATGCCAAAGGTACAGCCAAGATAAGGCCACCTGACAGATCATACTATAAACAGGTGCATTCTTTAGGATCCACACAGCGTAATGATGCCGACAGGTGCCTAAGCCAGGTACAACATTCCATCCCTTCCATGATTAAGGAAGTGACAGAGAACTGAGTAAGCAGAAATGCTGATAGTTATAGACGGCTTTTCCATCTTACAGTTCTGCATCTTCCAGCAATTCTTCTGAGTAGCAGCAGAAACCACAGTGCTCTAGTCCTGGCTTTATAGGTTGGCAAGTTATTAGACAAGTAACACCTGGTGATATTAAGACTACCAGAAGGGTTAAGAAATTTCTGCCAGCTGGTTGTGGCAGATAGCCTGAGTATAGAGCAGATGGGAGAAGCCCTCAAGGGAGAGAAGTCTCCCTGTATTGGCACAGCAGACCTGAAAAGGGGCAAGAAGAAGGCATAAGCCAAGAGACAATGTGAGACTTGAATGGGATGCATGACTGCTGTTACTTTACCAAATTAAACCCCAGTAAGGGGTTCAGCATTACCTCTGTCCCTGCCAATTACAAGTAGGACGTGTGCCCACGATTAATATATAATGAGTACTTCAGTCTTAAGAGGGTAGAAAGGAATCATTCAATATATAAATGTAGCATTCAATTATCTGACATATATCTTAACAGTAATGCTGACAAAGTGCTCTTTTATATGACCATAAATTATTTGGGAATGATAATCAAGTATAACAGCATCATAATAATTACAGTTTATATATTTTTTATCTATCCACTCATTCACTCCTTGTATATTTCACTTACAACTACCTTTCTTAACAATGTCTGGACATATGATTCAAATGTGACGTAGGATGTTTTGCTGAAGTTGTTACATTGGTGCTTGGCATAATAGCCTGTCTTTTGATGAGACCTTCCACTCGTCTTTTTGTCAACATATTTAAAATGAAGTAATCTAGAAATGGTTAGCTGGTTATCTGCATTGACTGAACTAAGAAGTTTATGAGAAACATGAGATGTCAAATAAAACCTTAGTGCAGTTATGTTGTAAAAGGTAAAATGATACACAGTACAATCAACACGGATGGTGAGCTGGAAAAACAGAGTGAATAAGATGCATCTGAACCATTGGCTGAAAAGGATGAAGGTTCTGCCTTGCTGCAGCATACTGTAGTTTTTCTACCTCAAACTACACAATTCCATAGTAGCTGGTAAGATCAAATAATGTAATCTCAGTGATGTTGCCAAGTTGTTGATTAGGTAGCCTACAGACAGATGACACTAAAGCTAGAATGCTTTCCTTCCCTGCTTGTTACTTGGGGCTCCATTCACTAGGAAATCCATGAGATACCAGCCTACAGACCGCTTTCAAACTTCCCGGAATGCTTGAAAGACATTGATGTATGTGACAACACCAGTAAAGCATCATTTTCACTATGACCTGGTAAATTTATTTTCCAAAGTAATGTAACAAATGAAAGGGAAAAAGAGACCATTAACAGCTCATAAAACAGGT